AAAAAAAAAAAAGTTTGCTGGTGCAAGTTTTGCATTTTGAGGAGAAATTTATTTTGAGTGAAGAAAATTCATTCCTGCGTGCATTTTATTTTGCCATTATTTTTTTCTAGGCATTGAAGCCATTAAACTAAACCAAAATGGTGGTAATATTAATTTTATCCGGGAAACAAAGAGAAGCATTTTGGATATTCCGCTTTAAGAGTCTGCACCCCACAGGTCTGAGTTTTTCTGAACTGAGCCTTTTTTATTTTTGTTTTTATTCTAATTTTATCAGTTACATTATTCTCGCATGGGTAATGCTAGATGGCATGTTTATGGGTAATGTTTATTTAATTAATTTTATTCATTTTTTCAGCCAAAGAAGGAGTAGGATTCTCGACAGCTTGTCTTAAGTCTACATTTTAGAGATTTTACATTTTAGAGACATAAATTAGGACCTTTTAACAAATCTGTTCCCGTGTGACGATGTCCTCTTGTTTTTTAATTCAACTGCTGGACCAACCTCCTTTCATTATTAAATACTGCCCTTTTGTCCCTTTTTTGTATATATTCATAGTATTCTTCTTATGTATTTCACACGTGTTATTTTGAGACAGGTGGGGATAATGTCTCCTCCCCCCTGTCATCATCATTAATGATCTAGTCCAGTATTTACTTAAGCGTGACTTAACCCAGAGCTTTCCAAAGTGTGGGGCCCGCCCCCAATTAACCAATACCTACCTGTTATATGTCAGTTGATCTATCTATGAAGTTTCGATTGGTTTGATTGATTTAAGCAATTTTCTACAATGTTTTACTATGACCTTGATGAAGGCCACAAGCCGAAACGCGTTGGTCAATTATTAAAGTTGTTCATCTTCCCTTAAGTGTTGCTGGAGTTCTTGCATTGTGGACTCCCAGGTATTTAAACCCTCGTGGGGGTTGTACCCTGAAAGGGTCATCAACCCACTGTTGACCATTGATTTATCAAAAGAGCAAATGTGTGTGTCATTATCAGCAGGTCCTGAGTGAAACTATTGTGAGACCCTGTTTCACTCTATCATGTGGCTCGGTGCTTCCTCCATGTAAAGTTTGGCTACAATGGGACACACTGGGGAGCTCACAGCACATCCATGTTTGTGTCTGTAGAAACCCTCGTTGTATTTAAAATATGTGGTGGTAAGGCAGAGGTCTAACAGTGTGCAGACCTGATCAGGGTGAAGCTGGTTCTGGTTTTAAGGAGCTGTCTTGTTGTAGTTGTTTCCTGACAGTGTCCACTGCCTCGGTTGGAGGTGTACAAGTGAAAAGTGAGACCACATCAAAGGACACTCTGGTTTCATCTGGATCAAGTGTAAGTTTGTGGACCTTGTTGGTGAAGTCAGCAGAGTTTTTGATGTGATGGGGTGTGTTCCCCACAAGGGGAGCTAGGATGGTGATGAGGTGCTTGGAAATGTTGTTGGTGGCTGAGTTTATGCTGCTACCAATGAGCCTGAGTGGGACTCCTTCTTTGTGTGTCTATGGAAGTTCATATATACAGGGTGCAGCATCCACCGGGTAAAGGTGGTGGTATGCAGGGAGCTCAGTGGCTTTTTCAAGTTCTTGTAGGCAGCTGATGACTTTCTTTTTGCTTCTGGGGTTTCACCTTGAAGCTTCATAACTATTGTTGTCACTGAGTTATGAAGCGCCTTGAGGCGACTTATGTTGTGATTTGGCGCTATATAAATAAAATTGAATTGAATTGAATTGAATTGAGTGTAGTAATGTTTATTTGCTCTGCTTCTTCTTGCCAGGGATAAAATACATATCTATACTTTTGTGTCCCAGCTGAGTAACAGGAGGAGAAGAGTCTGGTGGAGCAGCAGAGGAACAGTTTCAGCCATTTGGACTCAGCTCAGCCACTACAGAGGAAACAATGACTTCAACACAGGAGGTGAGAAAAATATCTCAGTTAAATCTATGGCTGTGCAACATGATGAAATGTATATCGAATGACGATATCTGTCTTTTATATTATGGGCTATCATTTGTTTCGTGGTGTTGCAATATACACCGTTTACAGCAATATTTATTTTTTTGTCTTTTATCACCTATGGAAGAATCACATGAAAGAGTACGGAGAGAGTTTACGGATGAGAAGCAAAAAAGAGCCGTCAAAATAAACCTTAGACTGAAACATGCTTTCCCCCGCAAGCGGCCATCTAATAAATACTCACAAAGAAGATGGCGGCCATTACAACTTGTGTCTAAAAATTTATAGCTTCATGCATCATCAAAACACTCGACTCCAGCTGCAGTGTCTTCAGCTGGGCGGCATGTGTGACATTCAGAGAATTTACAGAAAATGGATCATTTATATGGATACACCATAATAACATGGGAATGGTTGGTGATATTAAAGTCTTTTGACATTGCCAGCCAAAAGATGAAACCTCTAGCTCTGCATTTAGTTGCTTCAATGCCTAGATGACCTTTGTGGACAATATTGGTGTATTCTTTGTGCAGGGATTGGGGAATATTAAATTCCATTCTTTTCTGAATTTTATAATATAAAAATTTAATATAAAGACTTTGGACTTTACTTTCCCCAATTTTTGCTTTAAGTTATTTTGTTATTTACATAATAATGTAAATAACCTAATAATTATCCTTATTGCTGTTTTAGAGGAGCGGTGCTTCAAAGGATAGCTGCAGATTTCTGTCAGAATCTGCAGATTATACAGTACAAGTAAAATGTTCACGTTGTCTTCCCAACAGTTTCACTGACATCTACACTGGATGGCCAGGAAGCCTTCGCGATGTCTTCTCAGGTGCTTCTTCGGCGCTGATAATTGGCATCTGTCTTGTGCCATCATGGTTATATATATATATGTTTCCGCTGCACGTCACACACCCTATGTTTCGATCAAAACACTCTGCTTCATTTCACTTTCTGTCTGCAGAATCACCACAGCAACTCAAACTGCAGAAAATGTTAAAGTGAAAAAAAAAATCAATCTGGGTCATTTTGTCCCCAGTTATGTTTTCTTTTCCACAATCAAAAGAAAAATGGCAGAGTTTTTTCTTCAGCACTTGTATTTTGTTAGACCGTTATTTGTCTTCCAGTCCCATGAGCACCTTCTGGAAGAACTCAAATGTGTAGCGAAGTGGCTTTGGGTAACTCGGATTGAGCCAGTAAATTAGCCCAGGCAAAAGTGCACACCTGCTCGCCAACATCTTCAAGGGAGTCATCAGGCTGTGCTCTTTTGTGGATTATTTTATAAACACCAAAAATCCATCCTCTCGAGCTCTTCAGCTTCCATCATGTTGAAATCCTAAAAAGGACAGAAATATTTTAAATCCGTTGTATTTTGGTCATCGCATCATCTGTCTATTCACTCCATTTTAGATAAATGGTCCAAACTACCCTGATTACACAGATCCCTGAATGAGACTGAGGAGAACAGACCAAAGAAAAGTGTGGATTTAAGACTATCACCAAATAAAGACCAAGAAAAAGAGAAATGAAACATGGAGAGAGGGCAGAAGGAGCATGCAGCGGTGCACACCGTTAAGGCCGGTTCACACGGTCGAGAGAGTTCCAGACCGCACACGTATCGAATGACAAAAACAAAACTAAGAAATGGACACTTGTGGGTGCCCCTACCATCTGTGGTGTATGGCCACACAACGCTAACGAAACACCCTATGAGCACATTTTTCTTGCTAACATTCCCCAGGCAAACAGGAAGTCTCAACCCCTCTTGAGATAAAATGTGACTTTGGAGTAAATAACCAAGTTGGCCAAGGAGGAGGCATTTCCAATAGTTGTGTGAGTTGTAACGGAAAGGACGACAAAAACAATAAAATGGCTGTAAGATGAAGGGTTGGAGTCCAGCAGCAGCTGGATGCTACCTGCTACACAACAGGTGGTGAATATTTTCCCCTTTACACTGACTGAACAGTTGATTTACACCTCACTCAGATGGATCGGTGCCAAATTTATAATATTAATAATAATATTATTATTATTAATATTATTGTTAATAATAATAACAATATTAATAATATTATTATTAATATTATTATTAATATTCTGCTGTACAGGGTTATTTTCTTTAGTTTAGCCATAAAACAATGTAAGTGAATGGAAATAAAATCCTAGTAGTTCCCTTGCACTTTATTGTTGTAAGCTAATTTAAAGAAAACTGATTGCTGCCAGATCAGGAGAATGCCTGGGCTTGTTTAGAAAATAAATTTTTCAACTTACAAAACTCTGGGAATTATGACAGTCAAAATTTTACTGAGGGGTGGAATATCCCTTTAAAAATAAACGTACCATGTACTCTTAGATGAGATTTTGAGGGTTCTCATTCAGGTATATAATCAAAGCTTTAAGGATGCATTCACGTTTCGATTCGCGAACTCTAAACAAAACAACACATGCATGGCAATTACTTTTTTGATGTTTGTAGAGACCCCCACAGAACTTAAAGTCAATTTTTATTGTTGTTTAACCAATTCATAATTGTTCCTAAGTAATTTTAAACATGCTTTTCCCCATAAAGATGAATTTCTAATCCTCATTTCACAACTTGCAGGGAGAAACAATCAGAATCAGAATCAGAATACTTTATTGATCCCTGGGGAAATTATTTTTTTTGTTACAGTGCTCCATTTTAAACCAACATTAAGACAAGACAGACAATACACTAACTAAGAATAGTATAATATATACATATACATACATACATAAGTCACTCATTAATA